GGCAACGCACAATATAAATCAACATTTTAAATGGTAGATTTCACAGTATGATTTTGATATTCCGACAGTCTAGGATGATTGATTTGTATGATTCACTTTTTGACGTACACATAACTCTCGGATTTAAATCCGAAGTTTCCGCATTTATTTTCTTTTTTGTCTCGGTTCTAATCTAGCGAAAACTATTATAGGCTTTAGTCATATCATATCTTAATATTTTTCAAGAGATATTACGAATGGTGAAAATAATAGAATCTTTGATGTAAAAATAAAAAAATTCATCTATTTATATATCTGAAGAAATTTGTGACTTACATGACTTGTTTGATCACTTAAACTTAATTCATTAAGATAAATAACTAAACTACGATGATAACGTAATGGATCAGTTTTATAAACATCCATAACATCTTCATCCAATTCAATACTTGATAAAGTCTATTTAAATAGATAATTAAGAAAAATTGTTAATTTTTTTTTTTTTCTTTGATTTTATTCAATTATAAAAAAGTTTTTACTTTATGAACAATGTGATCAAGTTTATCTTGATTTTCTTTTGAATTTAAAACATCATTATCAATTGTATCTTTTCTTAATTGTGCTGCAACTGAACCTAAATAATCTAATGATTGTAAACGTGTATTGATTGGTAATGAATGATTGGAAAAATTTGTCATTAATATACGTGATAATAATGTTAAAAGAATTTCTGATGCTGGCCATTCAGGTCGATTAGCCGTAACAAGTAAATCAGCTAAAAAATTTTCAAATACAATACGATAATCATCTTCACCTTGTTTTGTTCCACATGAACGAAAAAATAATGTTAAAAATTTAAATGCTAAATTTTGTGCTGTGGAATATGTATTTAATAAATATAATTCATTTGTTGTATCAATTATATTTAAATTTGTTACTGATCCTAATGATACAGGTGCATGAATTAAATTCATAATTAATGCCGTAAACATTTGTATAGATTCACCAGATGGTAAACGATAACAACGAAGACTTTTTTTACTTGTTGGTAAACGTGCTATTGATAAAAGAAGATCTTCAAGTATTGAATCACGATGATGTTCATAACGAGAAAATAATTCAGTTAGAATACGTAATGAATGTGCTTGAATATCAACAATATTTTCAACATAAATACAACTAACAGTGAATGAAGAAATCTTAAAAAAGAAAAAAGAAAATTTTTAAGTTTCAAATTTAGGATTTGTTGAGGTGAGAGCGCTTCGTCAAAGGTTGTATTGGTCCTTGCGGAAGGGAGCATCAGGATAAAACATTGCCTCAGATGAATATTGATAATTTCGTTTCGTTTCAAGATAATCCTGTTTAAGGCTCCGCCCCCCTCAAAAATCGATTTCAGCCCAGGAACATCCAAATGACATGAAACTTTCAGGATATGTTGGCGCTAGAGAGGGAAGACTACCATAAAATTTTCAGTCAGAAATCTTCAGGTTTCAGGGAGATATGAGCCAAACAAGGGTCAAAAAAGACTCATTTGGCATCCCAAATCTCTCGGTTCTGGTTCGTTCAATATATTAATATTTTTTTTTTTGTTGGAAAGAACATCTCAAGACGCAGGACATGACATTGCCCTTTTTTTGA